TTTTTTTTTTTTTTTTTTTTCTACCCATCGTCACTCGAATGACTGTTTCAATAACGTAACCAGGACGTTTTAGGCAAAGTAGTCGTGATTTCTTCTGCTATGGAATTTGACGTTCAACTGATGTTGCGTAAGACCTTCAGAGTTGAATTCGGTTGCTTCGGAACATTTTGTTCGACACGTTCTGTTTCATCGACGTCACGTGGACGTACGGTTTAGGCACTAAAAAGTCATTGCTACTCCTAACTTAAATTTTTACATGTGTAATATCGTAAGACCTTAAGATTTGAATTCAGTTGATAAGAACAACTTGTTCGGCATATTCACTCATTCTGTTAAAACCAGTTTTATGATCCCCTAAGCGCGAATTTAACCGGATCACGAAAACGTTGAAGCCCCAATAAACCAACAAATGCTACTATTAAGACTGTTTGAATTTCTAAATCTTGACCTATTTAAACAGTTTGAAGAGTTTCATAAGCAAAACCTCTAAGCTGATCTTAAAGCACAAGTCGCGATGGAGATGATGGATTAAAGACGGATTATTTCAATCAACAATTCTATGCAAATTTGCTTTTAGCATTTCAAGAAAGTAACTTGAGATAAACTACTTCGTCGTGAAGTTTTGGGAAATAGGAACTTTTTGTTTGCATATTAGGCATGCGCGAGTTTTCCCTTCTAACGCCCCTACGACTAAGAAAATCGAGTGGATCTCGGGACAAAAGGGGGGTTGTTATTTTTCTCTATTAATAGAACTGCGCGCACAGAAGCATAGCCAAACCATTTGCTCCAATCATTGGTAACAAATTCAATTCAGATTACTCCTGACTAAAACTGAAAGTGATTTTGTAACCGGCTCCAAGGTGGATATAATTTCGTCGTTAACAGAACGATCAGTTTCTTAGCAATGAATTTTTCATTACGTCAGTGTCTTAAATGCTACATTTGAGTATAATTGATAGTTTCCACTTGAAACACAGATCTTATACTATTTTTCAATGCATACGAGTCTTATTTTCACCTCAAACCTTTAACATCAGGTTTTAAAAGCAAATGTCCACAAGAATCAAAAATAGTTCGGTAAGGCTTGAAAAATAGAATTTGCCCTACTGTTGCATATACGTAGGCCTTAGTAAAAGTAAAAACACTGTGTAGTTTTTTTCTTCAAATATCTAGGTATTTCGGAGAAAAAGGACATTACTGGTTTCACGTCCAGACATCAATCTAACGAGTTCTGACTGGGCTGAAAATTGACCATTTTCATTCAATTCGCATTTCGCAACTATTGAGCACAGAAAAGTTGTAATACAATCAACTTAATGCAGAACTATTCCTTGTCCAAAACAGCCCAGTCTCAAGAATATTGGATTTATCTAACTATTTAGCGGTAAACAAAACTTAAGTGTTCTCCAACGATGAGTTCATCAGTCGGTGAAGACAATTGTCATTTTGACCATGTGCCATGTCTCGGAATTCCACAAGATTTTAATTCTAACTATGCTTGGAAAGGTCTTTCAATATATGTAAAGTTTAGTTTGGGCAAATAATTAGGCACTCGTCAAAACATTATTCAAATCATACACAAAAAAATTAAAATCACGCCAGCAGTCGAATGCGTGACCAAAAGTACCGTCATTGTTTTTGTCATTAAATCACTTCAATTCGAAATACCACATGAATATCAGCACGACTTAAGCATAAACCAACATATATATGTTTACCTTAGCTGGGTTATCATGTCTTGACTGTCAAACAACATTCCTATCCTAGCTGCCATTTCAACGGTGTTCCATTAGGTTTGCATAACCGGTACGCATTCGTCTGGTGATTTTGAATTCCCTAAATCGCTCAATATTACCAAGTTCCCATGCAAATGTTCCGATGTTTTCCGTTTTGTTGTTCAATACAATCATTTAACCTGCTATCAGGCAGAAATCCTCAGTAACTAGCAGTAACAAATAAGCCGCCATCTTCGATGGCTCCGCGTCTCTTATTTGCATATTGTCCAGCAAAAGTCTTTGCACACAGGGTAAGGGTAGAGTGGGAATTATTTCGAAAGAAAAAGCGTCAGAATTTTTCCAATATCTCGATGTTAGTTCCAATCCAGGGCTTCCTTTCTTAGGTAGGCGAAAAAATGCTACACTCAAAACAGGTCTTTGTGGCTTAAAATTCAAACAAAGAAAAGTAACTGTTAAAAGCTCTGAAATCCCGACCCTCACTCCCAAGTAAAATATGTTGTAACGCACGGGTCTCGGATAACACATTTTTAGTCAAAATGGAGGACTTTCAAACGTCTTCAAAATGGAAACCCGAACGTCGCACGTGGAATAACAATTTAGCAGTTACTACTGGCTTAATCAAACGACACAAATAGCACAGATAAATGATACATACATGGGACTTGGCAGTTACTGTTTTTCTTCAAAGTCGGATATGAGTACTAACAAGAACGACGCTGAAAATTAAGCTTATATGCGGGGAAAGAATCAGTTTGCAAGTTTCAGGATATTACAAACCGAGGTAGGTGAGCATGCTATTATTATGTGTATGATATTTATACTGCTTGGTAATGCTGACGTTTCGAACTGAAGTAATATGCCGATACGATGATAATACTTTTGGTCACGCACTCGGAAGCTGCTGGCGTGATTTTGTGTCTTTTGTGAACGATTTTGAATAATTTTTTGACGAGTGTCTAATCATTTGCCTAAACTGCACTTTACATACATATATTGAAAGACCTACCTAGTTGCGGGCTCAAGAAAGCCCGCAACGTATTCTCGATCTGGGGCAAATTTGTTCTGCCAAAATCGATCGATAAATCCTCGTAAACCAATCAGAATCCATTTCCACGCGAACAAGAATATTTTAAAAGACGAGCGCCGAGTCGGCTAGTGTGCTAGATCTTCAAAGCCAAAGTTTTGCATCATTGAAGTGTTAAAATTAATGTACATTTCGAAGATTGAAAAAAAAAAAAGAAACAGTCTTAAAGAATACTCAGTTCGCTCTATGATGTCAAAAGAAGAGCAGCAACCGATGAAAACTTGTATAGTTTGGCCCTGACTCGATTTTACCTTCCACTAAGAATGTATGGAATGCAAAGAAAGCGATTTTATCACGCGCATCACGCGTATTTGGACCTTGGATCACGTGAAACTCAAGCATAGCAGCAAGTCAACTTGAGACGTTTCCTGTTCAGTGTTCATGTTGTGTTTGAAGTCCGCCTCGAGCAAGTTTTATCCGTTCTCGTCCTTGGAGTCGAGCGAGTTGTGATCTGTTCTCGTCCTGTGGAATAGAGCGAGTTGTGATCTGTTCTCGTCCTGTGGAGTAGAGCGAGTTGTCATCTGTTCTCGTCCTGTGGAGTAGAGCGAGTTGTGATCTGTTCTCGTCCTTAGAGTCGAACGACTTGTGATCTGCTTTCGTCCTTGGAGTTGTAAAGTTAAGTATAGCGTGACAAAGCGCGACAAACAAATGATCTATGCATAAGCCTTTGTGACAAAAAAAAAAAAACAAAAAAAAACAGCGTTTCAGTAAAACTAAACAAAACAAAACGACAAAACTAGTGTATCATGGAATTTTATAGTGTACAGTTAAACCTGTGTATAACGGCCCTGTATAAAGCGGTCACCCTGTCTGTAACGGTCACTGAACAACTTCCCAAAAATCGTCCCTTGCATTTACTGTTAAGTTAACTCGCATATAGCGGTCACCTGTATATATAAACGAACGCGGTCACCCTTTAGACTTCCTGAGTCCACAATTTC